CATTTTTTATTTGTTGCTTTCCTTTTTATCCTTAAATGCTCTTGTGATAACTTTGCTTAGTTGGGTGTCTTGCCAAACTTTATACTTAATTTTCCTTCCATTGCTCCTTAATGAAGTGATGCAGCTCATAAACTTCCACTATCCCTCTCCCCAGGACATTACAAATGAGTTATAGTCTGGATCTGGTGTTACCCTTGGCAGCCATCTCTTTTTGCTTGGCAGTAAAAACTTAAATGTTTTCTGACTAAGATAGTTCGGGGGTGCTTTTGGTCCCTGGCACTAGAATTGGAATCAGGAGGACTTGGATTCCAATCCCACCTCAAACACTTACTATCTATGTGACCTTGGATAAGCAACTTTATCTCTTTGTGCTTTAGTTTCCTCATTTGTAAAATGAGGGGATTGGATTTTAAGGGGATTAAGCCTGTAAGATTTGCATATAGCTCTAAATCCTTGTTATGGCAATAAATTTATATCATTTAAGAAGGAGTATAAAGAGTAAGAAGTATAAACATGAGTAAGGCACTTAGATTCATTTTCCTTACTTGTAAAATGGGAATGATAATAGCCTTTACTTCTCAGAGTTAATGTGAGGATTAAATGAGATATTTTATATGTAACTGGTTTGCAGACCTTAAAGTACTGTATAAATGCCAGTTACTATAACTATTACCATTACTACCACCACTACCACTACTACCATTATCATCACTACTACTACTATCACTATGACTACTACAGCTATTACTACTACTACTATGACTACGACTACCACTGCCACCGCCGCCACCACCACCATTACTACTACTACTACTACTACTACTACTACTACTACTACTACTACTACTACTACTACTACTACTTTCTTCTCCCTCATGAATTTTTAAGCTCTGTGCCAATATTCACTTTATTTTACATCAAATTCCTGTGGGGGAGAGGTTGGGGACGAATGAAAATAGTTCACATTGTAGCTGTTTTAGTTTCATGTGCTATCTCTTATACTTATAGGTTTTGCATTCATTTTGATATTTGTCCTAATAAGCTAGTGACCTAAATTGAGTTGGGAAAAATTAACACATTAATAACAAGTCATTTGCCATCTGTTAACATACAACCAATTAAAATTAGGAAGGGGAGGGGCAAGGTAAAGTGGGAAAGATCATTGATCCTAGTTGAAGACCTATGTTAAAATGCACCTGCAACATTTTGCTTTGCGACCTTAGATAAGTCACTTAACTTGGGCCTTAGTTTTCTCATCTTTAAAATGGAGGGATTTAAAATAAATGATCTGTCAGGTCCCTTCCAGCTCCATACAGTTTGACCTAAAAGTCTTACTCTAGCTGTAATATGTAATAGCAGTTTAAGCTATTACAGTTTAATGCTACACTAAAAATTACTGGACACTATTTAGGATCCTTTAGGTGGGAAAAAATGGTTTAAACTTGCTGAAATGCTTAAGATTACAGATTCAGAATTGGAAGGAAACTTAAGTCCATTTAAGTGCAAATTCTTCAAGTGAGGAAACTGAGGCTTATGGAAATAAAATGACTTGCTCAAGGTCACACAGGCTCAAAACTGGCAGAATCTGAATTCAGACTTGGAATTAATCCCTGCCAAGCCACAGCTAATACAGTTATACCTTTTTTCTTTTAGAGAAAAAGTTTCATGGACAAGAGGATAAGCTACATGTGTTCCCTGTGCTCTTCTATAAAAAGATGATTTCTTGTGGGAGTCCTTTCTCTGATGTTAGGTAGAGAGAGTGTAGCTAATTCGAGTGACTGATCCTGTCCTGTCACATGTCCTTGTATTGTGTATCTGAACCATAGAATATGATCCATGCAACAGTAGTCTGCTTTAACTTAATGCAAAACATAAAATGGATGGTTTGAGAAGTTGACAATGTCACTCCACTGGTTAGAAAACAAAAGTGCAAATACCTAACTACAGAACTATGACAGAAAGGGCATGCTCACCTGACCCACTCCTTTATAGTAGGCCAAATGTATGATGAATTTGCTTTAAAAAGTTTAAACGAGGCATCACCTCAATTCCACTGCACATCTTAATATATTTAATCCTATTCCATGAAGTTCAGTGATTTTTTTTTTTACTACTCCATTGGTATTTGGTTCTGAATTATTTTTCATTCAGTGTGAACAGTGAATGCCCAATGAAAGCTGATTTACCACGTAGTTATAATTTTCATTCATTTCCACAGCACATTTATTTTTTTTGTGAATTAATGGCTTCAGATTTTCATGCAGAAGAATGTTTCATGTTGTTCTGCATATTCTATTTGACAGTTGCTACATTGTTTTCTTTGTCTCTCAGCTTGTGTTTATTTCACTGCTTTTCAAACAGGCTGATGAAATCTTGTCAGCTAACTGGTAGTGAATTTCTATGTCGGTGCCAAATTGCTTTGATGAAATTGAGCATGATTATCTTGAGCCAGACTCCATTTGGTTCTAATACTTTACTATTTTCTATATTGAAAAAATTGGAGCATTTGTCTGCTCCTGGAGAGTGATGGCCAAAGGTGTGAGGAACAAAGATAGGTCAAATACAGTGAGCAGAAATTGCAGTTTAAATTCCTCATGAACCTTTGTATCAAAACTTGCTGGTCCACACATTTAACACTTTTCTTGTTTCACCGTCTGTTTCTCTTAACAAAAACATATAACGTCTCCTTCCATTCCTTTGCTCTTCACTGTAAATTGGGGGAAAAAAACCTACAAATGTACAGTAGGATTTGACCATTTAGTTGTCTAGAAAAATCAAATTGTGTAGTTCTTTTGACCTGTATTACCTACAAAGAAAAGCAAAGGCCTCTGGTACTATGATGTGGTAATTCTTTGTCAGAGAAATATGGTATTATGCAACATCTTAATTTTAGGTCTGTGGAAGTTTTGGTAGTTCAAATTTATATTATCACTTCAAAGTTTGCATAATATTTTCCAACAATCTTTTGATGTAAATAGTTGTCCCCATATTGCAGATGAAAAGATGGATTCAGTGTCTAAGTGACTTGTCTAAGTTGCCTAACAGAGCTGTTATATGAGTCCATGTTTCTACTGATTCCCAGTCTGCCACATTGTTTCCTGAAGAAAATTCAGGATGTAGAAACAAACAGTAGAAATGGGTGGGGACAAAGGGAGAAAAATGTAAACTCAAATATAAATTTGTAAAGGCTACAATACCTAGAAATGAAACCTACTGAGACTTAATAGATGCTAATTACTTGATGATATTGTTGTATCCTTAAGTTGAAACTGTTACCCTTGATGGGAAGTTATTCACTTGTAGCAGATGCCATTAATGAAGAAAGATGGAAGATTAAAATTTGCTGTTATTCCTGCCCAGTTTAAGTGACAGGCATTTGTTATGTGCATATTTTGTTTCAGGAACTATGCTAGGTGCTGGTTTCAAAGACAAAAGGTGGCTTCCATGGACTCAACATGTCTTACTTCCCAGTTTCCCCCTGCAATGACCTCAGGCTTCCATTCCATTTGCATTCAAACTTGTTGATTTCCAACCAGAGTTCCAGGTGGTTATAGGAAGGGAATGATAATAGTTATGCTCCAGACTTGTCCATCTAACACCCCTACCCCTGAAAATCATGCTTCCTAGAGGAGTATTTCAACCTTGGAATTCACACGCAGGAATAACCCTCAGCCTCTATGGCTCCTCCCTCTGATTGGATTATTCTTCCCAGAACCTTCATCTGTAGAAAGCTCCAAGACCTGTTCATTTCTCACCAGGCTGAAATTAGGACTTCTCCATCAGATATTCTTCCACCTCCCCCCTTTCAGCTACCTTTTATATGTTGTCTTTTCCCGTTAGATTATCAATTGCTTGAGGAAAGGGACTATCATTCTTCCTGTTTGTATTCCCAATGCTTAGCATATTTCCTGGCACACATGGTAAGTGTTTAATAGATGCTTGTAGTCTGACAATTCCTATCATCAAGGAGCTTACATTCTATTTGTGGATGAAACATGTATATGTAATATCTGGTTACTCTCAGGCTCCTATCCATGGAGTGGATTTATCACATAAACCCATTCATAGTGGCTTCCTCCCTCAGAATTGAAGTTATGAAGTTACTTTTTTTATGCCCCTATTTAGGGAGCACACATCTCTAACAGTGGGCCAGGCTAAGGGTTGAGCTCTCAGCCCTGTTCCAGGAAAGATTGTTTTCTCCTGTGTGACTCCCATTTCTGCCTTCATGCCACAAACAGAGGGACATCAGGAAGCATAATAACTAGGTGGACCACAGGTGGTTATGAGAAATAATGTTAATTCTGACAAATGTATTCTTTACTAGAATTTTTTAAAAAGCATGCACAGTTAAGTGGAAAAAAGGCAGGGGCTAGGTGAGGGCATTCAGTTCTTTCAGTGCTCCTGCTGCTGGAATGATCATCTCCTATAAAAAAAATCGCCCACTTCTCTGCTTGTCTATTTATGTAGAGGTCATCTTTCATGATCTTTTTTTTTTTTTGGCTAGGCAATGGAATTAAGTGACTTGCCCAGGGTCATACAGCTAGGAAGTGTCAAGTATCTGAGGTCAAATTTGAACTCAGGTCCTTCTGACTTCAGGGCCAGTGCTGTATCCAGTTCGCCACCTAGCTGCCCCCATCTTTCATGATCTTAAAGAAATATACTGAATATATGGCAGATATTCATTGATTGCTCCATGGAAAGAGGCCGCTATCTCTCTCTCCAGTTCTCCTTGTTCAGTCTAGAGTGAGGGTCTCCAAAACTCCCACTATACATTGTTATTGAGAACTGATCTATTAGATTTCTCTATTCCCAAACTGGGAAGAACTACAAATCAAATTTTTGTGGCCAGCCAATCCCTTGCTAGAGGTTGTTACATAAACAAATGAGTAAATGCACTATATGTACAAGGAGTAATGTGAGGTGGTTTTGAAAACATAAACTAGAGCCATATTGGTTTTAAATGCCAAAGGACTTCATATTTTAACTTAGTCATGGTAGGAAGACACTGAAACTCCTTGAAGAGAGGAATGTCATGGTTCAAATCTTTGCTTTAGGAATATCAGTTCAGTGACTGTGTGAAGGATGAAATGGAGAAGTGATGCAGGGGACAGTCATCAGAAGCTTATTGCAATAGTTCAAGTCCATAAATTCTTAGTGGAAAAGAGTAGAGATGACAGAGATGTAGGGATTGAATAAGAATCAAGAATGACTCCTAAACTGTGAATCCAGATGATCAGATGACAACTAAGATCCTTTCCAGCTCTTAATCTGCAATCCCATGATTCTGACAACAATCCGTGAGGCAGATAGTGTGAATAGTTATCTCCAGTTTTATAGACAAAGTGCTGAATGACTTGTCCAAGGAGATTTAGTTAGGATAAATCACTCACCTTCTCTGAGCCTCAGTTTTCTCATCTTTCAAGTAATTTTAAGGTGAGCTGGTGGTTCAGTTAGTACTGCTTTCCAGCTCTAGAACTTTGCTAAATTATGGGTTGGTCTTTAGGGCCCACCTGCATTAGGCCTGGATGTAGAGTATTATCTTCTTCTTGTGGAATAGCCGTGAAGAGTCACATCCTAGATCATCTGTAAAAGACAGAGGTGTGGTATACTGAGCTAGATTCAAAAGTTAGCTATGCCACTTAATAACTACCTATTAGCAAATTACTTTAGCCTTTTGGGCCTCACCTTTTTCATTTATAACAAGAGGTGATTGTGCTTGAAGAGCTTGAAATCCTCTATGTCTCATATTAACCTATAATTCTGATCTGAAGGACCATCTTCTTCCAGGTAAATACATAATCTGTTTGAGTGACTGAATATCACCTTTCCTGGTATCGTTCCCAGGTCATGAAGTTTATTGAAAGAGTATACATAGTATAAGGCAGTATTCTGTTGCACATCCTAGAATGTAGGTGTAATTTAATCCACATTGTTCAATATCCATGCATGATTTGTGCATTTCCCTTTGGGCATAAGTGCCTAATCTATAAATATAAGAAGGAATACAAGTTAAGCAGAAAGACTGACTCGGATCTTCCCTCAAAAGGCAAAATTTTGAGGGCCAAAAATGATGTGTGTCAGCATTTCAAAAATTGTGACTTATGACGATGAAGTTATTAAAGATTTGAAAAACTAAACTTTAAAGGCTGATGCAGTTGAAATTAAAGAAAGGACCAAATGTTGGCAGAATGGAAGAAGCAAACCATAAAAAATTGTTGTAACCAATTGCTTAATGAACACTTGAAGCAATTACATTAAACAGATTTGAAATTCTACTAAAGAACTTCAACAGAAAGCTTCAGTATAACTTGTGATTTTATAGTTGATAAGATAATAGTTATTTGACTGAGTATCTTTTGTTTTTACCAAATGTTTCTTTGCAAATTTAGCTTTTTAAAGTTTTGGCATTTGTATGTTTTTTTTTAGTTGATTTTCTTCTCTGAGAGTTTATGCGGATTTTGTCTCCATTTCTAGCCGTCTTAATGGTTCTATCCTGTGATACTTTAAATCTCCTTTGCTAGACCCATATTTTAGGAACTATTGAGGCAGATGGTGAATAACTTAGTGCCAGGGTAAGACTGTGGCATAATACATCCATGGAACATGAATTGGAGGGTGAAGTATTCCTGAAACTCACCAGCAGACTTAATTAAAAAGTTGCTCAAGTCCACATCTCTGTATCATCTCTTGGGATTCTTAAAACAGGATCTAGGGTAGCTTTACTAGTGTTTTTCTTTTTTAAAGCAAGCAGTAAAAATAGAGAACCATAGCCAGGGGAGAGATGAAGGCTGAAGGGGTGAATCCCAGGGGGTTGAGAAGGGGATTAGAACCTTGTGGAAAATTTGCATTTCTGGCCAAGTATCTCTGTAAAACTAACTAAATCTCTCTCGCTCTCTCTCACACACACAGACACACACACTCACACATGCATACAGACAGTTTAGCTGGATTTACAAAAGAAAAACAAACTAGTATTTTGGATTTCTACTTTCTTGTGGGTAGTGTCCCACATCTTTGTAACTGCCAAACAGAAATGACCACCTCAATGATTTCAAGGGCTGAACTTAGGTGGAGAGAAAACTAGTTCGGCAGTGTAAGGAATGCATGTTGGACAAAGCTATTTTTTCAGGACTTGCACTTATATGGCTCTAGGGAGAGCTGTGTTCTCCATGATTGTAGGTGAAATTACTGACATGAGAGACTGCAGAAGGTGAAAATTCCAGAATAATGAAGGACTATATCTTTGGGAAGGCTGGGCTTTAAATCAAGCCTCCTCCATGGAAGGCTTCCATTTTGGTTCCATTGCTATCTGAATTCAACATTCAAACTCATCTTGGACTTTGCAGATAAAGTTTAAAATGGAAGATATTCAACATGGCCACCTTTATCCAGGAGTTTTGCCTTTAAACAGAAAAGGCATTTTGTCTCTGAAGAAGCCCTTTCAGGATGTGGTTTGTATTGGCCACATTACAGAGTGCTAATGAGAACACTGGAATTAGAGATTCTAGTGTTGATATTCATGGAATATGGTATAGGATGCAGAACAAATGGTTGGCAGTCAAATTATTTGGCATTTAATACCTTACCTTATTTCCATGCTCAGGTCTAGGTGGTTTTGTTGTATTGATCAGTAAAATATTTTTGAGATATTGCTTTATTTCATTAACTTCTGTTATATCTACAAAAAATCTTGTCTGGATTTATGCATTCTCTAAGTGCCAGCTAAACAAAGTCCACAGACCCTCAGTGTTGAAGTTAATTTAATTAACTCTATATGGCAGCTGTTTAAATTAATCCATGATAATAAGTTTTAATGCCATGAGCCCTTTGGTTTAGTATCATTGATATTTTTTTTTTCCATTCTGCCTTCTAAAAAGCTTTTGAATGATCAACTGTACCAACAAGCCATCAAATGTATTCATTTTTGGAAACAAACACTTCATGGCTGTTTAGAAATCCAGAGAGCTTACATGGGGAAAGTGAGGGAGGTTTCAAATTTCTGAACCATTCTGCAGAAAATGAAGTGATAACAGTTCCTGCTGATGGCCATATGACTCCATAATAACTTGAAGAGGGAAAAAAGAAATGTTTGTTTATGCTTGGCTAGAGCTAATAACAAGTAAAAGCTATAATCTCATTTTTGCTAACAAACATGTTTCCTTTCCCCATGCTCCTTGATCCCTTGCTTAGAGACAAGTCGGAATATCTTAAAATGTTCTCTCTTGGAGAAGGAAAAACAAAAATGCATTTTATACTGATCTGAGGATTTGCTTCAGTTCTTTCCAGTTGACTTTTATAATAATAATGATAATAAATAATAATAATCAAATCCAGAGTTCTTCCAATATTTATATTGATAAGTTCAAAGCTTTTTAGTAGTGCTTTATTAGCACTGTATCTAGTTTGAAAATGAATAGGAATAAGAGGAAAGGGAAATCGAGTAGCCAAGGGTCACTTATAGGAACTTATAATTGAGAAGATTTTGTTTCAACTGCTCAGTTTTAACAACATCAGTTTATAAGAACATTTTTCTCTCTGAGACTTGCTGGATATGTTTGGCACCAGCACACACAGAGTTGAGCTTTTGTTCTTTTTCAAATGCCGTCCAGAAAGGGTTGCCAGACCCTGCTCTTATTTTCTCCAATGCAGCATGTATCCAAATCTGTCACCATGCCCTCCGCAGAAGCTTACACTTCACTGGAGAGAGCTGGAACAAAAATTGCTCTTTTTTCCAGTCCCACAGTATTTTGAATTTTATTTACTCAAGTACTTTAGGAAGAACTGTAGCCAAAATCAGGTGAACAGGCCAATCTTCATATGGTTTTATTGATGGAATATTAAGTGGTGGCAACTTGGATTTTGTGTGTCCTTGGTAGCTAAACTATAACAAGACACATTTATCTAATTCTCTGCTTTGGATTTCAGTAGTTTTTTGGTTTGTTTGTTTGCTTGTTTGTTTTCAGTTGAGGCAATTGGGGTTAAGTGACTCACCCAGAGTCACACAGCTAGTGAGTGTTTTGTGTCTGAGGCCAGATTTGAATTTAGGTCCTCCTGACTCCAGGGCCTTTGCTCTATCCATTGTGCCACCTAGCTGCTCCTGATTTCAGTAGTCTTTAAGGTGAAAATGAAGATATGAATTCTAATCTGATAAGTAATCCTGCAGGTATGATAATATTTGAAGGCAGTAATGCATTTGATCAAGATATAAGGGTGATTAAAAGAGATTTTTGCGTTTGTGTGCTGCATGCAAAACGTAATATCTAGGGGAGAGTATTCTGGGAGACTTTGTTTATCACCCCCTAGCTAAAATTCATTTCTATCTGCCTGCTAGGAAGAGGTAAGAACCACCAGGAGATGAATGGGGGGGGCACCCTCCCCACTCTTTGCTTGCCCTGCCCTTCTTCCCTTGGTATCTGCCTGTCTAGAACCCAGCCAGGCTGCTTGACTGTTAATACCACTTAGGTGAAATGGAAGTCACCAACTATATTCCTTCCAGTGAAGTGGAAGACCACCAGAACTTATGACCTAACCTGCCATTGCCTTCTAAAGTCCTCCTGACATTACCATCTTCCCTACTTTTAAGCCTTTCAGACCACAGGACCAACATACGATCTGTTGTTGCAACCTGAGTCTTGCCTTGCAATATGCCCTGCCAAGAAACCCTTAGAATTGCCCCTGAACTTTCTTTTAAGTATCTTCCCTTCATTGCAGTATAAATTCCTTGACAGCAGGGACTAGTTCACTTTTTTGTATTTGTATCCTCAGTACTTAGTACATACTTGGAATATAGTAAGGACTTAATAAATGCTATTTTTTAAAAAAAGATTTAGTTACTTTAATTTTCATTTTTTATTATTAAGCATTTATTTTTTTCTGTCTCTCCCACCACCTAAAAATAAAGAAAAACCTTCGTAGCAGCTAGAGTCAAACAAAACAAATTTCTGTGTTGGTCCATGTCCAAAAATATGTCTCATTCAGCAAATTAGTCTATCACTTCTCTTTCAGAAAGTGAATATAATTCTTCATCTTCTGTCCTCTAGAATCATGACTGATCATTCTTTTGATCAGAATTCTTGAGTCTTTTCAATTTTTATTTTCATTTTTAAAAGTTGTTATAGAATAAATTATACTCACTTCCCTCTTCATGGTCTTCCCAGGTTTCTCTGAAGCCACCCTTTCTTAATTTCTAATAGAAAGTAGTATTCTATTACATTCATATACTATAATTTGTTCAACCATCCCCCCAAGTGATGTGGTTACCCTCTTCAGTTGTCCTGACTCTAAGCCAGCGCTGCATCCACTATGCCATCTAGTTTCAGTGGGTCAAAGGGTGTGTGTACAGTTTTTCAGCAGGATAAGAGTATCTGTGCCTTAGAAATATGATTTTAGCAGTTATATGGAAAATGAATTAGAGAGGAGAGATATTAAAAGAAGAAATACTGATTAGGACACAATTAAAATAATTTATAAGAGAGATTATGAAGATTCAAATTGGATAGTTTTAACTACTTATAATCCATAGAAAGGAAAGATATAGATACCTCAAATGAGGTAATGCATGAGTAACCATTTTTCAGCCTTTT